CTGCATGCTCTTCTTAACACTGTTGGCCCTCTTTGTCACAGGGCACATTGCTGCTTTGCTCAACTCAAGTGTCCCCAGGACTTCCAGATTGTTCTCTACAAAGCTGCTTTCCAGCTGGTTGGAACACAGTCTGTACTCGTGCTAGTACTAGGAGGTGATTCCCCTGCAGATGAAGGTCTTTGCCTTTCTCTCTTGAACTTCGTGAGGTTCTTGCTGGCGTGTTTCCGCAATCTGTTGAGATCCCTCTGACTGGCAGCACTCATCTGCTACATTACTGCTCCTCTCAAAGTCGTGTCGGCTGCAGACACGCCAAGAGTGTGCTCTGTCCCCTTGTCCAGGCCCCTAATGAAGATGTTGGACAGCCTCAACCCTTGGCTCTGCCCCTGTCACTGACCTCCAGCTGGATTTCACCACTTGTAACAACTCTGAGCTGAGCAGTTCAGATGCCATGGAGAGCCTTGCTGAAATGAAGAGAAGCAGCATCCCTTGTGCTCTCTCCGTCCAGTCTTTTCATCAAGGAAGGTTTTCATCTCCTCCTCGAGCATGATTTATTTCCCTTTAGTAAACCCACGCTAATCGCTCCCATCACCATCTTTGTGTTTGCTGCATCACCTGGCCCAGGATGGGGCTGGTGGGACCGAAAACAACAGGCTTCAACATTCATATATAAATCCCATAAAGGTCTGTGCACATGCACACCTACATAAGCCCATGCAAGGTGTGTATGAACCCAAAAAAAGCTGCTTAACGTTGGGGCAGAACTTAGAGTGGACCCTGTTCTGCTCATTGAGGATTTTAACACAGGAAACTTGCTCTTCTGATCTGAGGTGAGGAGTTGGTTGTTCCCCTTTACATGAGGCTCATGAACCAAGAGGTCTCCTGCGTATCTTTCTGGCCGTTGCCAAATCTCCAGCAGTCGCTGAAAGCAAAGTTGTGCTTCTGGGGTGGTTTGGTTTTTTGCCCTGTGAGGGCGGAGCTGGTGCAGTTACACTGTGCAGGAGTCTCTTGAACTTGCGCTATTGGTTTGTGGTGAAGTGCACCCTCCCTCAGAAGCCCTGCCCTATCTGGCAGTGCTCAGCAACCAGAGTCGCAGCAGGTTTTGCTTTTCCACAAGTGCTCAGGTCACAGTTATTTTTCCAGACACGAGCATCATTGTACTGTGAGCCTCTTCTCCCTGACTGCTCTTGCTTTCTCCATTTTTGGACGCACAGCTTCCTGACGCTTCTATTACCCCTGGTTTGTGTGCTCTTTTTTTTCTTCCTTCCTTTCCTTCTGACTCAAGGCCTTTCCCAGAACGTTCCTTCCCTGGTGGGGCTGGGCTGAAGGACTACCAGTCCCACGTGTGGGCCAGCCAGAATTTCCTGGTAGATTACTGCTGCAAAGCTGAGACTAGAACTCCCAATCCAGAAATGCCTGAACTGTTTCCCAACTGTGACATCCCCCCCACCCTTGAAATGCCTCTTTTACATCAAAAAATAACTGTGGAGGTGGACAGTGGTTATTTAGCCTTAACATTAGTGTTTGTGCTGATTTAGATGGAAACTGGCCATGAATAAGTACAGGTCGTATTCTGGAAAGAGCAGTTTGTGTTAGAAGGAGCGTGAAAGCCTTCTGATAATGCCACACTTTAATGGTTGGGCAGAAAGAAGAGTTTTAAGATGGCATTTACAGAATTTATTGTTTACGAAGTAACACGTTTTATCCCTCAGAATGTATTATCTTCAGGGCTTTCTAGGACGTTAAATCCAGCTTGCTGTCCCTAGGAGGGCAGCCATTTCTGGAATAGTTTTGCATCAGAAGTCACGGGCGTACTTTTTCCCTGCTTATTTTTGCTGGCCCTCGTTCTACTTTCCTCTTTCCATCTTCAAGTGACTTTGTATTCAAGTCACTCCATGTTGGTGAGAGCAGTCTGTGTTGTAACGATGACTTGGTACTGGTACCCTCCTGCGGAGCGCACTGACACCATTGCCCTGGGTCAGGGCTTCCTTCAGGGGCATCCCCAGGATTCCAAGGGTCCTCTCGTGAGGGTGGGCTCCCCTCAAGCTCTCACTTGAGGCTGGATGTGTTTGTGAGGAGCTTCGTACCCTGCCGTGGGACGAGGATGGGGCCGTGGCACCTTGACTTCTGCACGACTCACAGAGTGTAGGGCTCTGCGCTGCCCTGCTGAGCTGCAGACGGGCTGGTTTGATTTGTGAGGTTATCACTGCTGATACGAGCAGTTCAGTTTCTTCTATGCTTCCTTTGAAAGGAGGGTGTAGAGAGGTGGGAGTCGGTCTCTTCTTATGAGTTACAGCCAACAGGACAAGAGGAAGCAGCCTCAAGTTATGCCAGGGAACGTTTAGGTTAGGAAAAACTCCTACATGGAAAGGGTTATCAAAGACTGGGCCAAGCTGCCCCGGGCAGTGATTGAATCCCCACCCTTGGGCATCTAGATGTGGGACGTGGTTAGAAGTGGTAGAGTTGGAAGTCAGTTGGATTTGATCATCTTGAAGGTCTTTTCCAACCATAGTGATTCTGTGATTCAGGCGATACCTCACCGCTAGCGTTGGCTGTACTCTGCATTTGCAATGAATTTCTTTCATATTTGCTACGAAAAAATTATGAAGGAAGACTTTGACTTTATTTTAAAAGTTTCTGAGATACTTCTTGTTGATATTTATCTTCTTTGTTTTTTCCTTGCACGGAACACTCAATATTGATTTGCAATGTTGTCTGCCGAAAATCAACAGCTTGAATTGGTTTAATTTCCCACCTGTGATTGCAGCAGTGAATATGCTAAGACTTTGTTAATTTGCACTAATAGTTGTTTATTAACTTTTGTGAGTTTATCAGACAAATACCAAATTGAGATCAGTTGTTGCTGCTTTATTTTGATGCTCAACTTTAGCTCAGTGTAGGCTAGTAGTGCTGTATGCTGGCATTCGTTAAAATAATCTTTGCCAAGATTTTTAAACTGCATTCATCAGTGAAATGTCCTATGGCGTTGTGCAACTTTTTGCGAAAATGTTTTTAGTGCTTGCTTGCTTAACCTGAGTTTCAGTCCACTTAATGGTGCAGGTAGGATTTCTCTTGGCTTTTTTGTACCACTGTAAAGCTAATACTGCTTAAAAAGCTATTTCTTGCAAGTCAGCGGTGATACTGCACATGAACTAAGAACATGTTTGGGTGTTAGTAAATACGGAAAAAATTGACCATAGTGTCTCCACCTGAAGACAGTGTAGATGTTCTGTATTTTTTAGGCTGTACTACGTTAGGAGAGCAAAACTTCTTGTCTGTCGTATCTTCTATCCACCCTTCAGGTGTGTTTTTCCCGCTGTATACTGCTTTCTGCTTCACACAGATACACAAACGTATTTCGAGTTTCCATTTGTAGATAGTAGACTCTTGTAAAATGTAGGCAGACATATAAGTGAATTTTGGTTATTGATTCCTAAGAAGGTGTATTTCTTCTCACTTTAAAGAGCTGCTAATATAAAAGAACTTTATAATGAAACAGGGTTTTTTTAATTTTAGGGTTTGCTTTGATGCATATCTACGCCAGGGGTTTTGGAAGCAGCTTTTGCAAGTGGCTGCTTTGCCTTAGGAGATTAAGTCAAAGAGAAGGAAAATGCTTTAGAAAATCTTGGAATAATAGTACAAGTTTTTACTTGAGTTCAAATAAACTGGTTTCTAGCATCGTATTTTGTTTTAATTCTGCATATAAATCCGAGTGTACAGATTTTGCAATTCTGCTGTGAGTACAATCCAGCTACAGTGTTACACATGCACACTAGTTTCTCTCCTGAATGTGCAAATTGAAGTTTTCCAGGTAATTTCTTGGCCAAATGCAGGCAGTTTTTCATGAGGACAGCGTTGTATATTACATAGTTTATCTGTGATAGCAAACGGTATCTCAGTTTCCCGAAGGTGGCAGGGGAAGGGGTACCGCAGCTCTCTGAAGTAAAAAGTCAGTCTAACTTTGAAAAAAACCACCTCCTTCATTAGGTCTGTTCCTGAAAATAGTTGCAACATTTGGTTAGATTTTCAAAACAAATGAGGTTTTCATGTCTGACATGCAAATTTCATCCCGGGAGGCGAAAGATGGACAAAGTTCTAAGCAGGGAAAACCAGAATTTTATGAAAGAAGACGTTTGGTCTGATTATAAAAGTAAGGTTACCAAATGCAGTGGGCCAAAGGATGTCTCTGCGACTTAAAGATTCTGTGGAAGATTCATTTCTTTATTTCAAAAACTGTATTTCTTTTGTAGTCTGTGATCATACTAATTAATGCTGTAAACATACCTGGGAAGAAAGTCTGACTTGCAAAATACTTTTTGGTGTGTTGTTGGTTTTTTTAACTCCTAGCTGGGTTAGAGATCAGTTTGCTTTTTCCTTTTGTTCTGTGAGGAATTCTCACTGCGATTTGTGATTACCTTTTAAAAGCTACCTTAATTTAAACAGAACGTGCAATTCGTGTCTTGCATAGCAAGTGGTTTCAAATAGACAGGCTGATTTCTCTTAACCTGTGCTCCCGCTGTCAGTGGGATCTGGCTGAGGAAAAGGGGATTTAGTACCTGGAGTTAGATCAGAGCTGGATCTGTTAAGAGCCAACCTGTCCCTACTGAGTTTTCAGCTTCTCATCAGTGTAAAATAAAAATTGGAAATGAGCAAGTAGAAAGTAGCATCTGGCGATAGCGCCAGTTTATGCCATGCTAAGGGAATGGTGGAATTACCATACTATTTTCTAAACTGATGGGTTTGCTTTCTTTTATACCTTCATCAGCTCAATTACTCCATCACGAAATGGGCAGTACTTCCAGTTATCCTTGTTGAAACAGTGCAGCGCTGTCGATTCATAAAGGAGAAAATTAATGCTCTTTGCCTTAAGTTGCTTCAGTATGTCTGGGGTGCTTTATTCGTAAATATATTATTTACAGTGACTTGCTTTGTATCGGATGAATTTTTGAATTGGGTTTGTACAAGTTCAACATAGAAAAAATAATTTCCTGTGTTTTCTTTTGTAGCCTTCTGTTGAGTCTTCAAGCCCAGGTAAATATTTTTCATATTCCTAAACTTTTGAGGGAAGAGGGCACCCTTGAAAAATTATTTTTGCTGGTCTTTTCCAGTCAGTAATCTCAAGGATAGAGCATGATGAATAGGTTGGTGGCAGCACTGGTCTGAGCAGTCGCTGCTTTCTTCCTGTCTGTTCCAGCACAATTGTCTAAATGGTAAAATACACTGGGGAAATAGATTTCTTGCCCTTGCAAAAGCTGCACGGACACATGTTTGGGAACACTGACGGCCCGAGGGGGAGCGCACCGTGAGCAGGTGTGGGAGAGATGGTTCACCCAGTGGTGCGCTCGCCGTCCCACTCGGGGCTAGGCACAGAGCCAGAAGTGAAGGCACAGGGTGCTCCCAGTCACTGGATCTACAGTTGCTCTGTGTTTTGATGCATAACAGCATTGAGAACAAAAGCAGCAAGAAAAGCAGTATATGTTAAGCCTCATTGGATTACTAAAAATGAGGAGTTTCATGACTTCTCTTTTTCAAGCTGATTATTTTCTGATATTCAAGTATCCCAGAGCTACTGGCTGTCTAATAGTCAGCCTAAGTGGTTTTTTGTTCACCACTGTACTTAGTGTTACTTATTTCTAAGGTTTTTGGCGTCCTACTGGTGGAAAAGCTTTCCAGCCATCACTTTGGCTGGACCGCCCTTATCTCTTGAACTTTTATTTCTTTTCAAACTACAAAGTGTAGTTAACCCTTACAGTTGCCCCCTCCCTCCTGCACTCTTAGCGTGGATACACTCTTCAGGGTGTGGAAAATGAAATTTCAGTTGTGCATGAAGACACGTGCAAAAACCCTAGCAGGGTCGGAATTAGAATCAGGTGTTACTGAATTACATAAAAATGCTGCATCTGCCAAACCATTCATCCATTCACGTATTTTTTGTTGTCACATAATATAACCAGGCATGTCTACAAAGAACCCTGAAAAAAAGACGTGGGGGAAAATAACTAAGGATACCGCAACATTAATAAAATCTGCATAACTGTGACGTTGACTTTGAGTTTAAATTTTGGAAAAGGCATTAAACTGTCTTTGTAGTTGAAAACAAGAAAGCTTCAAAAGGATCTAGCTGCCCTGAGTTTATATTTCATGAATGTTTTTGCTCCCAGTAGGACTTTTGATACAAGCAGGCTTATGATTATTTAAGAATTAAGTTTTCAAAACCTGAATGTTTTACGAACACTTAACTAGGGCCCAGTGTCCAGATATCTACCACTTGGAGAACTGGCTGGTAAAACAGTGTCTCCTGGTTCTTTTTTCCACAATCTCTTACTGCCCAAAGGCCAGCTGGCACTGCCCTCCGAGTAACAAGATTGGCTTCCCCTAAGATAAATGATTGAGAGATTTTGAAGACTTTTTCTTTTAATATTGAGTATAATCTGAGTTTTAAAATGTCGCCAAAAGAATAAACAAAAAATAAACTCTGCGAGGCCATGATCTAACTAAAAACATTCTTTAAAATGTTTTCTATCAGGAGGTTCAGCAACATCTGATGACCATGAATTTGATCCATCAGCTGATATGCTGGTGCATGACTTTGATGATGAACGGACATTAGAAGAGGAGGAAATGATGGAAGGAGAAACAAACTTCAATTCTGAAATAGAGGATCTTAACAGGGTAGGTAGCGTTAAATAGTGATAAAACGTAACCACAGTCTCAGAGAAAACGTATGCAGGTTTTTCCCCTTATATTTGGAATTTTTTTTTAAAAAAAGAAACCCATAAAACCCTAAAACACTACTAGGCAAATAATATAGATGGGGGAAAGGGGCTGAGCTAAATCTGCAGTTCTCAAAAGTTGAGAAAAGGAAACTGGTGCATAAATACCTAACAATGTAAAATGCTATGCTTGTTTAGTTTCTTTGTGCATATCTGTGCTTGTGTAGGATTTGCATTCTAGAGCTAATATAAGTTAAAGTACACTCTGACTAAACTTGTATATTGTTATTTTATAAAGCACTTGCACTGATTAGTGCATAAATATTTTGATTTTTAAAAACCATAATCTTTCTTTTGCATTTCATACAAATATTTGTATAATATATATAATATATACATTACTCCTATCCATATTCTATATGTAGGAGTATCTTCATTTTTTAAGATAGAGGAAAGGGAGATGCAGATGAAATGATTTGCCCAAAGCAACGAGTTGCCAGCAGAGCTGGGATTACAATTACTGTAATAAAGCGAGAAATAAATCTTAAAATATCTATCTTCAGAAATAATTGTATATATGATTTTTTTGACATTTTGAGGTTATGCTATCACTTATGTATTGTCTTAAATTACTTTTCAGGCAGGGATAATACCCTTAAATTATAAATTAAGTTAATTATAAATGCAAAGTAATTTAGATGCTCTCTGTGGCCTCATTGGCGGAAGAGGCTCCTGGAACAGATCGTTATTGATTCTCAGACACATATTCAATTGCTGTATCTTATTTAGTGTAAGTGATTATGCCAATATGACTTTTAAATTAATTTAGTCCACTTACCTACATTTTGGGTGTGGTAATTTCTTTCTGGTAATCTTAGGTTTGCTATTAAATGCTAAACATAAATAAATAGTTTGTGAATCTGAGTATGCTCATCTAGATTAAATGAGAAATGGAGCCCCACACAAATGTCATGTGGTTTTTAAGCTGAAAATGTTTTTTTTCCACCCCTTCATATTTTGTGAAGAGCCAACGTCTCGTTGTGTAATTCTGTCGCCACATTACAACGCTTCGTTTCTAACTGTGTTTCACCCATCTCCTTATTCCCTCATACCGTGGTTGTCGGCACTGCGAGTTTATCATTTCAGCCCCGCGATGGTGTAACTCAGACACACGTTGCTGCTCTTCTCTGCAGGCTGATGGGCAATCTAAATCTCAAAGCTGTTGTCAAGACCAGTGCTGTCCTCTCTTTCTCTTTCGCCCCCCAACATTTACACGTATTATTTTGGGTTTCCTCTGGGCTGTGAGTGTGCCTGATTTACTAGTTCAGCGCTCCCTCAGAGATGAGGTGGCGGTCGAGTTTTGCACGAGAATTTTTGGACCTTCATGGTTTAACTCATGACTGTAATAAAAATTACACCTTCCTCTGAGAGTGAGGATCTTTTCTACTCGTTTGCTGGAACTCTGGTGAATCTTTAAAGCCTTAGTGCTTGAGCAGCACCCTGCACTTGTCTGCGCAGGGACGTGGATACATTTTTGTCCAGATGGCAGCAGCATCTCTGTGGCTAGAGACCTGAAGTCACTCTCTGTGCTGCTCTAACAAGGGAAATCAGTTTCCTGAGAGCAGAACAGTGCTCGAAAGGAATCAGAATTATTAGGTTGGGTGGTTCTCAGTGATGGTTCTTCAACGGTGAGATTTTTTTTTCTTGGACAGGAAAGCTCTCTGCGAGGTGGTGCTGCAGCCGATCCTGCAGATTTTGGAGGCTTTGCCTCCCTCCCTTTTTCTATTTGCTGTACCATATAATCGCTTAGTTTCTCCTTTTGGGGTCTCCCCCTTTTCAGGGAGGCCTCTTGGGTTTTCTTAGGGTTATGCACCAGCATCTGCTTGTCTTAATTAAGATCCATTTGTGGAAGCATGCAGCGTTTCTCCTCCAGCCTCTAGCAGGGCGCAGTTCAGGCATGTATGAAAAAGACGTTGTCTCTTTGTCTGCACCACCTGTCAGTCTTATTTTTCCTCCTCTGTGGATTTGTCCATTTGGTTTGTAACCCGTGTAAACCGAACGTCCATGAGGCGTGCGGCAGCCTTGTGCGGGTCATTTAGCATGAGAAACACGTTTGGGCTTTCAGACTGTTCTGTGATCATTTCAGTGGTTGCCCCTCAGCATTTCAGTTGCTTTTATTCACCTTCTCTGTGCTGCTCTTCTCCATTTTATGACTCCCTCTCTCTTACCTCTACTCCAGACACGCAAATTGTAATCTATTTTTATTAAATGTCTTCCATTTAAGAAATACCTGTCTCTGATAAAACTCGCTGAAGTTTTTTTAACCTGTCCTGGTCTTATTGGTCTTTGCAATATCCCAAAGCAGCGCAGAAATCATGATTTGTGTTTTGTCTTGGAGAGTTGCTGGCCCTTGGAGCTTTTTTAATTGTAACGGACTATTTGAAGTTGAGGCTCTACCTAAGAAAAATGTTGTAAATCCAATTCAGCTTTCCTAGGTAATTTATAATAAGTAATACCCCTGTTACATAGTTCACACATAACCACGAATTGCAATAAAAGTTAATTCTCAGTGTGTATCTACAACTGGGATAGTGGTGAGAAGCACTCAATGAAAGTGCTTCCCAAACTGTATTGTAGAACATTTGTTTGGATAATTATGAATAGGATTTTTCCGATAGCTAAGTCAGGCTTCAGCTAAGTCTACAGTCCTGTCCCGTCTGTGTTAGTGAAACATTAATTCTCCACTTGTAAGAGTTGATATGATGGGGACTGAGAAGTCAAGAGAGCAGGTGAGGACATTTAGGTCTGCATCCACTGTGTATATAGCTTAACCAAAGAGGGGACCAATAACTGGTAGAATGGCTTAGTTTGTGGAAATAAAATAAAATAAATGAAAATAAAATAAAATAAAATAACATAAAATAAAATAAAATACACAGACAATGAGCACTGGTAACCCCTGCATTCCTCTTTATTTTTACACAGCAGAACTAACTACACTTACCTTTTGTAATTGATATTGTTAGTATGTTTCCAGAAACAAGACATGGTGAGGATAGGAGTTCATTGGAGGAAGTTCTAAGGTCAGCCAATAACTAAAAAAAACCCCAGATTATCAGACGAGATGTACATTACATACTAGGAAGAAATACTTTGAGCAAGCAGGCACCTCTCAATAATAAGCAAAAGATTTGATCTCGAGAGGGAGATCCTTTTAAAATGCCCCTGGAAGTTTCTGCTCTGAAAAGCCTCGTTAGGGATTCCACACACTGCCCCTGAGGGCTGGATACTGAGGTATGAAAAGTAATAAAGTAATTTGAAGACCTGGCAATTAACAACATTTATTAATAAAGTGAATGCAATTGATAACAGTGTGGGAGCCACTAAATGTGAGACCTGACTGTATAACTTGAAATGTCTCTTCAGGGGAGACTAGCAATCGAAATAGAAAGATTTCTCAGTGTGCACATATTTTAGTAAATTTGCTTGCAGCTCTGGATGGGTTTGTAGACAACTGGCTTAAAGCATGTACAAATCTATAACCATTACACCTGCCTTTACCTGGATGCTGGGTGATCCTGAATATCAGGTGATCCCTCACCCAACCCCTCGCTTTTTTGTTTTGCCTGAGAAGAGGAGAGGTACAGAGAGCCGGAGAGTTGAGTGTAGTAAAGCCAGGGCTGTAGAACCCTGTGGAATTGTTGCCTTAGCGCAGCTCCCCGAGCAAGGATTTAATTCACGTTCGAGCCAGGTGCTGCACGTTCTGGTCTTCTATTGAGTTTTGTGGCCCCTTTGAGAGATTGAGTTCCGCTGTCAATTTATAAAGGACTGAGAAATAAAAAGTTCCCCTGTGTTAAAAAGCCAAACGTTTTTCTTAGGAGCCGAAACTTCACCTTTTGACAGTCCATTGCTTTAGGAGTGGCTGCTCTTAGCCAACGTGGTCACCGACTGTCTGGCTTCGCCGTGGTGTATTTGAAGCACACTCCTGTAAGTTGTACAGCAGACATGGAGTATTTTTTGTTAAAATCTCAAACTCTGTTTGGATGTTTGTCAGGAAAGCGATATGCCGATCCAGGAGCTACTCAGCCGTTACGGCTATGATGGCACCATTCCACTCCAAGAAGAAGATGACGACGAAGATGAGGAAGAGGAAGAGGAGGAGGGAGAAGATGATGATGATGTTGATAACGATGACAACAGTGGCTGTAGCGGTGAAAACAAAGTAAGTGTTTACACTAATTTGAAATGGATTTTGATGCAGCCATTCCGTACTAGACTCAAGGTGCCAGATAGGAGCAGAAGTAATTCCTAATGGAGCTGATTTCAGAGGCTTTGTGCACTGAACTCTAATGTTTATTCCTAATTACCCATCTGTATTGCTCCTCATTGCTTTTAGTTTCATCTGTATTATTCCAAACTTGCTGAGGCAGGTTAGAGTGCATGTGTACGTACAGCATCGTGTAGGAAGGGTTCGTGCTTGTCTTTCTGAAATAGTCAGACCTCAGAATTGAAGCTTTCAATGATGCTTTTATAGGTATGGCCAAATCCTTGTTTCAGGATGAAAAGCTGATCTACTGAAACCGAACAGTGAAGTGTTGAATTGAATTAAATGTGTCTCTGAGTATCGGAGATTACTGTGAGTTTTCTGGCTTGAGCATTTTAAATTGATTTTTTTTTTTTAGCCTGGCAGCCCTGGTTGTACTGAAATTGTTAACTGCGTCGAATTCATCAAGTACCTTTGCAAGATATATGGTTTTGAACTTAGCATGTTTACAATCCTTTTCTTTGTGCTCTTAAAATATTTTTTCTGATTTTAGTAGAATCTCTTCTACTTGTGTATGTCATGTGTATTTGTAACAATCGTGTCCTATCCTGGGCACAGCTGGAACCTCTCCAGTATCGGTGGCTTTCACAGTTGCAGCCTGAATTCCATTAAAATATGAAACCCTTTGTATTGTCAGTAACAAAAAACACTTAGGCATAAATGGAAGTTGCATTACCTCATCTAGCTTTAAAAAAAGATGCATTTTGGATTTTTTTTTGGTGTCCTACCCATTTTAGAATCTCTGGAATGTGACAGAGAGATGAGGAGTGATATCTCTGATTCAGAAAATGAAGTTCTTGGGTTTTGTGAACTCCCTTGACAGATCCTGTAAACGATTGCTATTTGCATGGGTTGAATGGATCCAAAAGAAGAAAGATGCAGTTACATCGCGTGGGGAAAGGCTCGAGAAGCTGGGGAGGGGGAGAACCTTATGTAACATGAAGCATGCAAAATTAAAATCAGACACAAAAGTGGATTTGGGCTTTGTGCATGGTGGTGTTCCTTGAGTCCCACATTCTTCTTGTCTCCTTGCTTCTTCATTACTCCTTGCACAACTTCCATCCTCTGTGCTCTCCTGACTTCTGCCGAAGCTCCCCAGTTCTCTTGCTGACTGATTTAAGGCACTGCCTAAAGAAGGAAGCTTTGAACTGAGGAACGTCTCAGTGCCTGCCCCTGCTGTTGACAGCAAGAGGCCTTGTCTGTGACAACACAGCCAGTGGTTTGGCCTCGTGGCTGGATTAAAAGTGTACGTTCACCTGCCTCAGTTTTGCCAGGACTGGGCACAAAGAAGCCCGTTAGGATCGTTTGCCTCGGGGTACAAGGCCGAGAGCTCCAAAATGCTTGCGTGCTCTTAGCAGAGAGGCAGTGAAATACATCTGTGGGGGTGGAATAATTGTATAAATCATTCAGGCTTTCTCTGCAAGTGCTCATCTTTCTGCAGCTTATTTAGCTACACTGCACTTAGCTGTTTTCTATTTTTAATCTGCTTTAAGCTGCACATGTGATAATACTCTGGTTGCTGGTAAAGGTACATATAACACGTGCTGTGCCTAATGCTTCTGACTTAGAGCTGGCAAGTGTGAGCGCTTATGAGTTGGCCATAAAACACATAAAAGATATTGACAGTGTGCACTGAAATAGAAAGCACCAATAGATTTTTTTTTTTAACCTTTATCATTTTAATTTCCCTTAACTGTAATAATTACCATAGTTGCTGTGGTTTGTCTTCTGATAAAGAAACTTGTTCTAATTTTTGATCTTTTAATGACTTGGTGTGCATGCTCAAGTCTACTGATATGCTGCTCCTGTGGGCTTGGACCACACCGTTGCCATGAATTTTTATGGAGGCTACCATTTCCATTTGATTCAGAAAAGTATTGCCAGTAAATAATTTCTTCCCTTTTTTATTGAAAATTCATAAAGCAGGGCTTTAAAGACCAAAGTAAAATTTAAAGTTAAATTAAAACCAGAAGTTTGCTTGACTGATTAATAAAAAAAAGCAACTAGGCACGATATTCAGTTGTTCATATATCTGATTTGTGAGCAAGAGTCGGAGTGTTACATTGATCCACTTAGAGTCCTGGTCAATAAATAACATGATGTGTTACACATCGGTTGTGGCTCAGTCTGAACAGGCCACAATCTATACAGTCTCTTTGCGTTGCATAAAAGGTATTTGACTTTTATACATTGACAATTTTGGAACAAATATTTCCAAAATAGTGTTCGTCACATATAAAGGATAGCTGATCTCCTGTTTGCTTTTTTCTTTTTATATTTAAGGAGGAGACCATAAAAGATTCATCTGGTCAGGAAGATGAGACACAGTCATCTAATGACGACCCGGCACCATCTGTTGCTTCTCAAGATCCGCAGGAGATAATTCGCCCTCGTCGATGTAAATATTTCGATACAAGTATGTACAGTTTCCTATTAAGCACGATAATCTCAATATTATTGACCTTTGGCTAGGAGCAGCTCTAGTTAACATAGTCTGTACTCTTTCTGAGGTATGCCTGTCGATACCTAGAAACATTTGTTTATTCTCTTTCCTGACACTGCTCTTGATTATGACTGCACTCAAAATAATAGACAAAAAGGGACCTATTTAGCTCAACGCTAAAGCTTCTCTGCAGATAAAGGACTCTATGAGGACAGTAGATAGAATGATTAAATTTTTGGACAAGTTTGGAAATTTCTATGGTTTTGCAAAAGTAGGCTTTCAGACAGTGCAGATCTTTTCACGGCGCTGCTCTGGGTGCTGGAACAGGCCAGATTGTCATCCTGCAAACTGGTTTGTGTAGGTGTGCCCTGTTGAAAAATTCTCTTGCACGTGGAGCCCAGGTGGAGTAGACAACTCTTCAGTATGGTGTTACCTTACCAGTGGGATTTCAGCGGCCACTGCTCACCAAGGGCAGAAGTAAAAACATTTGCAAGTAGGAAATGCACTGTTCTGACTCAGTAACTGCTGCACAGTGCGTGATGATGGTGACAAGGCCTGGTGACGCTGGCTTATGTACTCATTCAAAGAAGGTGAGAGTTCAGCTGAAGGAAAAAGTAAGAACTGAGCTGTACTAGGCGTGGAAGCTCAGATTTCTTCAAGGTTGCTGCTACAGAAAACAGAAGCACTGAAATCTGAAAAAGGCCCATGGATCGTCAAACCTCAAATAACAAGGAGGCAGATAACGGTGAAGAAAATTTGCTTTAAGAATTGCGCATTTGGCACTGTTCCCAGCATTGGGCACTGGTTATTTGGTCTCATTTTGTTTAAAAGTTGGGTTTGCACCTGTGTGAGACTCGTTGAGCTAGCGTTACGTAGCTGCCCCTTTAGACAACTCTGATTTCTGTGGAAATCATACTTGATGGGATCTTAAGCTTTTAGTATCGTGCCATCAGCAGGGCCATTTGGACAACAGATATCTTACCTTTCTTTGACACAAGTGACTGTTGCCCATGTTTGGATTCCTTCTCTTCAGCATTTTAACAATCAAAAAGTTGAAGCAAAGGTTCCTTGTGACACCTTGTACTTGATACTTATTAGCCACAGCATTGTAGAAATGCAGTTTTCTAATCTGTAGTTTGTTTTAATCCAAAAACGCCGAGGAACCTCGGCATGTAGCTGTGCCGAGGATTTGCAAATATCTTAAACAAACTCTGTTTTTTAGCCATAGAATTAGCATAATGCAAGTGGATTGCACTAGGTCTGGGGGTTTTTGCAACATTCAGCAGTGTGTAGAATGTAATTTGATGTACAATTTTAGTGCTGCTATTATCATGTTATACATAAACCAGATATTGCAGTTGCTTTCCGCACACTGTGGAAGGCAGCTAGTCTGTATCATAAAGAGCTTAACATTTTTGTCAGCCCTTATCTGAAATAATCTATCTGAAATGCTGCTGTGCATCTCTGAGCAGTACATCCGAGCCGACTAAATCCCAGTAAGACTGATAAAAGCACACTCATGGATTTCTCACACCTTGTGCTGTAGTATGCCTTAAATTCAGTGACAGCTGCTGGAAGGGAAAAAGAAGAGCGGGTACGGCAAGA